GCTTTCCCATCACCACTTGCCAAAGAGGCTCTTTTCTCCACTGTATATTCTTGCCTCCTTTGTTGAAGATTAACTAACTGTAGTTCTGTGATTTTATCTCTGGGCTCTCTATTCTGTTCCATTGATCCCTATATCTGGTTTTTTGGGGGTTTTTTTGTGTGTGCCAGTATGACACTGTTTTGATTACTGCAGCTCTGTAATATTGTCTGAAGTCTGGGGTGGTGGGGTTTATTCCTCCAGCTTCATTCTTCTTCAGTATTGCTGTGGCAACTCTGGGTCTTTTGTGATTTCCATATAAATTTTAGGATTATTTGTTCTAGTTCTGTGAAAAATGTCCTGGGTAATTTGATAGGGTCACATTAAATCTATGGATTGCTTTGGATAGTATGGCCATTTTAACAATATTAATTTTTCCAATCCAAAAGCATGGGATATCTTTCCATTTGTTTAATCATCTTTAATTTCCTTCATCATCTTTAGTTTCTTTTATCAATATTTTATAGTTCTCAGCATATAAGTCTGTCTCTTCTTTGGTCAGGTATATTCCTGAGTATTTTTGACACAATTTTAAAAGGAATCTTTTTTTACTTTCCTTTTCTGATACTTCATCGTTAGTGTAAAGAAATGCAACAGATTTCTGTATGTTAATCTTGAAGCCTACTATCTTGCTGAATTTGTTTATCAGTTCTACTAGATTTTGTGTGGAGTCATTAGGGTTTTCTATATATAATATCATGTCATCTGCATATAGTGACAATTTACCCTCTTCCCTTCCAATCTGGATCTCTTTTGTTTCTTTTTCTTGTCTGATTGCTATGGCTAGGAATTCCAGTACTTGAGTAGAAGTGGTAAGAGTGAGCGTCCTTATCTTGTTTCAGATTTTAGGGGGAAGGCTTTCAAATTTTCACCATTGAGTATTATGCTGGCTGTGGATTTGTTATAAATAGCTTTTATTATGTTGACATATGTTTACTCTATACCCACTTTGGTAAGAGTTTTTATCATGAATGGATGTTGAATTTTATCAAATGCTTTTTCTGCATCTACTGGGATGATCATGTGATTTTTGTCCTTTCTTTCGTTAACGTGATGCATCATGTTGGTTCATATGTGTATGTCAAACCATCCTTGTGTCCTTGGGATGAATCCAACCTGATCTTAGTGTATAATCTTGTTTATGTGTTGTGGGATTTGGTTTGCTAATATTTTGTTAAGAATTTTTGCATTCATTGTCATCAAAGATATTAGCCTATAATTTTCTTTTTTGGTAGTGTCTTTGTCTGGTTTTGGTATCAGGGTTATGGTGGCTTCACAGAATGAGTTTAGGAGTGCTCCATCCTCTTCAGTTGTTTGAAAGAATTTGAGAAGGATCGGTAAAAATTCTCCTCCGCATTGTTTGTTAGATTCCCCAGTGAAGCCATCTGGTCCTGGAATTTTGTTGGCAAGGGGTTGCTGTTGCTGTTGTTTTCAGATTCTATTCACTTCTAGTGATCTCTCTGTTCAAACTGTCTATTTCTTCTTGATTCATTTCTGGTGGTCTGTATGTATCTAAAAATTTGTCCATTTCTTCCAGGTTGTCCAATTTGCTGGCACGTAATTGTTCATAGTACTCTCTTACGATTTTTTGTATTTCTGTGGTATCAGTAGTAGTTTCTCATCTTTCATTTCTTGTTTTGTTTATTTGTGACCTGTGTTTCTTCTTCTCTATTTGTTTACTCTTTCAAAAACAAAAAAAGCTCTTGGTTTGACTGATTTTTTTCTATTGTTTTTAATCTCTCTTTTATTTATTGCCTCCCTGATCTTTATAATCTCTTTCCTTCTGCTGACTTTAGGTTTTATTTGTTCTCTTTCTAATTCTTTCAGAGGGTAGGTTAGGTTGTTTATTTGAGATTTTCCCTGTTTTTTAAGGAGGGTCTCTATCACTATGAACTTCTCTCTTAGGACTCCTTTTGTTTCATCTCATAGATTTTACTTGGTTGTGTTTTCATTGTCATTTGTCTCAAGGTATTTTTTTATTTTATCTTTGATTTCATCATTGACCCATTGGTTTTTTAGTAGCATGTTGTTTAGTCTCCAAGCATTTGTTTTTTTTCTCATTTCTCTTTCTGTGGCTGATTTCTACTTTCATGCGGTCTTGGTCAAAAAAGATGCTTGAAATAATTTCTATTCTCTTAAATCTGTTGAGGCTTGTGTTGTCCAAGTATGAGATCTATCCTGGAGAATGTACCATGTGCACTTGAAAAGAATGTATATTCTGGTTTGTTTTGTTTTGTTTTGTTTTTGGATGTAACATCCTGAAAATATCAATTAAGTCTTAACTGTTCTATTATGTCATTTAGAGGATCTCTGTTGCTTTCTTGATTTCTGTCTGGAATATCTGTCCATTGATGTTAGTGGGGTGTTAGTCTCCTACTATTATTGTATTCCCATCCATTTCTTCTTTTATGTTTGTTGATATTAGTTTTATATATTTTGGTGCTCTTATACTGGGTGCACATATTGTTAACAAGTGTAATATCCTCATCTTGAATTAATCCTTTTATCATTATATAATGTCCTTCTTTATCTTTCTGTATGGCCTTTGCTTTAAAGTCTATTTTGTGTGATATCAGTATTGCTACCCCCTCTTTCTTGTCATTTCCGTTTGCATGAAATATCTTTTTCCATCTTCTCACCTTCAATCTATGTGTGTCCTCTGCCCTAAAGTGGGTCTCTTACAAGCAACATATAGTAAGTAGGCTCTTGTATTATTATCCAATCTGCCACTCTATGTCTTTTGATTAGAGCATTTAGTCCATTGACATTTACAGTAATTATTGATAGGTATGTGTTTATTGCCATTTTAAACCTTGTTTTCCAGTTGATTTTGTATTTCTTCTTCATTCCTTTCTTTTTGTTTTTCCTTTTGTGGTTTGATGATTTTCTTCTGTATTATGCTTGAGTTCTTTTCTTTTTGGCTTTTGTGACTCTATTTCATGTTTTTGATTTGTGGTTACCCTATTTTTCAAGTATATTAATCCATTACTATATATACTTGGTTTAAACTGGCAATCACTTGGGCTCAAACATATTCTAAAAAGAAGGAAAACATCTACATTTTCTTACTCTTCTCCCACCTTTTAAGACTTTGCTGTCCTCTTTCTGCATCTTCATGTTTATTTTGCTGTTCATTATGGTTACTGCATTTCCAATGATGGTTTTCTCATTTCTATAGCTTCCTGCTTCTTTTCTATTTAGAGAAGACCTTTCAATATTTCTTTCAGGATAGGCTTCGTGTTGCCATATTATTCTAGTTTTTGCTTGTCTGAAAAATTCTTTCTCTCTCCTTCTATTCTAAATAATAATCTTGCTGGGTAAATTATCCAAGGTTGCAAGATTCTCTCTTCGAGGATTTTGAGTGTATCTTGCAACTAACTCCATTCTGGCCAGCAATGTTTCTGTAGAGAAATTGGCTGATAGTTAAAAGGGGATTTCCCTTGTAACCACCTGCTTTTTCCTGCTGCTTTAGAATCTTCTCTTTTATCTTAAATTTTGGCTCTTTTAATTACAATATGTCTTGGTGTTGGCCTAGTTGGGTTCATCTTGTTTGGGACCCTGTGTGCTTCCTGTACCTGGATACGTTTCCTCTTTTAGGTTTGGGGAGTTTTCAGCCATAATTTTTTCCAATACATTTTCAATCCCCTTTTTGCTTTCTTCTCCTTGTGGGACCCTTTTAAAGCATAGATGAGCATGCTTTATGTTATCCCACAGGTCTCTTATACTGCTTCCTTTCTTTGTTTTTCTGTCTGCTGTTCCAATTGGGTGATTTTTATTATCCGGTCTTCTAAATCACTTATTTGTCCTTCTGCATTATTTAGTCTGCTATTTATTGCCTTTAACTTGGTTTTCATCTTGGCAATTGAGTTTTCTGACTTTAACTGACTCCTCTTTATAGTTTCTAGTTCATTTTTTACAATAATTTGCATTTCTATCAGTAGCCTCTCTTAATTCCTTCTGTAGTTTTATTATCTCTTTTTTGAACTCAAGTTCTGATAGACTGGAGAAGTCTGTTTCATTGTTCTTTTCAGGGGATTTCTCTTGTTCTTTTAATTTGGAGTGGTTCATTTTTCTTATATAGTTCTCTGACTCTATGTATTTAGGAGTTAACAGTTATATACTGCAGTCTCGATGGGCTGCTCTTATGTGGGAGTATCCTTGTGTAGGCTGTGTGTGTGCAGTATATTTTTGTGTGAGGCCCATTTTTAGTATGATGGCTATCATGTCTTCCGTCCATGTGTGCTGCCTGTTATCCCCATGATAGGGAGTCTGTTGGTGTTGTGGTGCCTGGAACCTGCACCGGACACTGAGCAGGACCTCCTCTTTGCTCTGTGGTTGCCACAGCCCTATCGGGGGCTGGGTCTACTCCCTAGTTGTTGGAGTAGAAGCCCCTAGATCTGAACTGCTGTGTGAGGTAGGTGGGACTGGAGTGCTTCCTCTGGGAGAGGAGCCACTGAGTAGCCCTCTGCAGGAGCCATCCACCTAGAAGTGCCTTCCATGGTGTCTCCTGTCACTTGTTGCACAGGCTCACAAAATACACTATTATTGGCACTGCCTTCAGCCCCACCTCAGCTGTGGGGATGCAGGCAGCCTTCCCTGGTGTTCCTCAGGTGTTCTGTTCACAAAGCCACTAGGGCAGATTCACTCAAGTCACACACCTGAATCTGCCATGGGCTACATGGTCAGCCCAGGCCCCAGCCCTGCCTCTGTGTCCACACCCTGTTAATTCCAGACCTGCTCCAGCTGTGCACCAACATTCTGCTCAGATGTCCTGGAGACACTGAGCTTAAAAGGTACCAGTGATATAAATCTGCCAAATCCACCTGGGACACCACTCAAATCTCAGTCCATCTTCTGAAATCATGTGGCCCTGGGAATGGACTCAGATGTCAGCCTGGCCTCCACTGGGGGTCAACCCATCAGCAATTGTGCCCTTCCAGAGCAAGCCAGAAAGGAGACTGCTATGGCAGACTGGGCTCCTTTGCACACACTCTCAGCCTCAGCCTGTGCTGAACTATAGTCCCTCCAGGCTGCCTCCACGCAGCCAACTCCAGTCCTCCCTCCAGGTCTGTCCTCCGAAGCCCAAGCTTCATTTAGCACCCAGTCCCAGTCCATGCCGCAGGCTCGCTGCTTAGGCTGGGGACCTCACAAGTCCTCTGGCCAGGTTTCTCCCCATTCTGTCTGCCACAAAGTGGCTGCTGCACCCTCCTCTAGCCACTGAAGCTCCGCCTTTGTCCAGGCTGCCCTCCCTGCTGGTACAGGGGCTCCCCAGGGTGAGGGCACTTTTCCTCTTTCACTGCTCCCTCCCCAGGGCTCAGGTCCTGCCCCTGATTCTTTTTTTTCCCCTCCTACCCAGTTACATGGAAATGTTTCTTGTAGATCTATGTGTATAAGACCTGCCAGAGTTCTGTAGGTATACTACGAGTACTGTTCCACATGGAGGTGTATTTTTGATGTATTTGTGGGAGAAGGTGAGCTCTGTGTCTTTCTATTCTACCATCTTGAAGCTGCTCCATTCACGGGACTATTTTAGAACATGTGATTAAAGCTTTCACCATCAGCACTTTTTTTTTTTTCCAGCAGCAGCAGCATTTAAACAAGTATGTTTAGCAATTCTCTGAGGCAAAGGAGTTCTCAAATTGAGATCTGGGTTGCATTTTAGACATTGTATCATGGCAACTTCTATATGTTTTACGTCTGGTATGAAACAAAGATTTCCTTATCAAGACTTTTGGGCCCACCATTAATAGCAATTCTCTTTAAACTAATTTTATAATCATATATTTTTAGTAGGGACAAATAGATGGTTGCCATGTGAAAGTTATTCAGGGACACAAAAGGCCGAAATACTGACTTAGAATGAACGCATGTAAAGTAGACGTATGAACACAGTAAGTGATGGCTCTGGCAACGGTTTTACTACTTACAGAATCTAAGTAGAGGTTGAGTTTCCCATGATCATGCTCCACTTTTTTCAAGGTCTCACTCAGGGGAATGGCATCTGAGGGCACGGTAAAACCACTGAGGAGGTTAACTTCCATAAGGGCCATGCCGCTTCTCGTTGGACCCAGAAATCTAAATGAAAGAAGAGAGGGTGGAAGAGAACCCTTTAGCAAAACCCTAAAGCAAAAACCTGAAGAGTAATACATCATCATTAGAGTAACAACTGTGCCTTTTAAGAAGAAAAAAAACTATCTCCATATAAAAAATAAAAATGCCAACAGCCAATATTTTCCAAATGTTTACTGTATGGTTGAAATTTAAAAAATCATTATAGAAAACTGTAAAAAGGTTAATCCTTTCCTTACAGATACGAAATCCTTGTATCTTTCAACCACGTGACAGCCCATATGAAATGCCTGCAACGTGGTGGCTCGTGCACCTAGGTTGTAACGTGTGCAGCCCTTGCCCCTTTGGCAGGCAACTCTTGTTTTCTAGTAGTGTTTCCAAACTGCAGTGTATTTTTCATCTTCCCAAAAGTTGACAGAACTAAGATCTCCAGCTCAAAGCCAGGAACTGAAAAAGAAGCATCACTTGACCACTCAGCACTAGACGGTGGCCAAGTCGTTAACAACCTTTTCTTCATCTGGTTTTAGACAGAGAAGACCCATCCTTCCCTTTCTTCTTCCACATGCTTGGAGCACATGTTCTGTTTTCTTTGGCCACCTTGGGAGAATGACAAGCCTTGGAAAGTTTTATTACACTGCTCATTCTCTAACCCTGTGCGAGCATCAGAGCATCTGGGCACCCACAACATTTTGTCTCCTTTAAAACAAATATTTTTCTAAAATGAATAGGTGATAGGTGGCAAGCGCTTTTTGTCTGGGGCAGAAAGAGCCCTGCGTCGTGACGGGAAGGAGTCTGTCTCCAACGTGAAAGGCTCCTAGCATCGTGAAGTCAGTTCCTGTTGTCCTCCAAACGGCAAGAGCAAGAGGAGCCAGCAAAAAATCTTGCTTTTTAGAGCAGCAAACAGATGCCTGCCAAACATGACTGATGGAAAAGCCATACAACACGAGGGCTGGCTGCAGCGGGCCCGGCAGTCCCAGGCAGCTGGAACCATCTGCTGGCTGAGCCAGAAGAGATGCTATTGAAAACTAATACGGGCATTAAAACTAGAGGTGTTTTTATCGGAGCAAAAAGCACAGATGAGAAAAACAGCCAATCTGCTTAGGCACGGTGACTTCAGTACATCGTCCAAAGTGCCTTGGTTGACCTGGTCTCTTCGCCAGCCACGGACAGATCTGTTAAATTACCTTGCCACCGAGAAACCTTGTCTGAGGTGAGTGAGGGCTGGGACCCAACTGATGAGAATAAAGTGCCGGAAATACCAGCTATATTTTTTTATACAGTGCCATTGAAAGAATTCATTTAAAAGTTTATTTGTATTTTATAGCAGATTTTTCTCAGAAAACTAGTAGCAGCATCTGAATCATTTTTTATAAAACCCCTACCCTGACATGAAAACACTTCCCTTCCCCAGATCCTCCAAAAAAAGAAGAAGAAAAAGACATAGACATCCTCTACCTAGCAACGTTTACTGCCCCATCTGACTCCTGATTCTGGATTCAGATTCGGAATGCCGCCTTTTGGCATGCGCCCCTGCACAGAATGAGGCCCCGTCATGGTCTGAATCTCAGTCCCACCTGATTTCCCTCTTCTGTGTCTTCGTGTGACCTTTCCAACAGGTAAACTCCCTCTCAGGGCACCGTAACACTCTTCTTTTGTGCCTTTCCCCAAACTGGAATTTTATGCTGGCGTCAGGATTTAGTTTCATTAATTTCTGTCTCCCCTTCCAAATAGTAAGTTCCATAAGGACAAGTGTCTGTCTTTTTGGCTGAACATTTATATTCCGAATCCTGACCCTGTGCCTGGCACATAAGGGAGTCTCAACCAGCATTACTGAGTGAATGAGTGACTGAAGGAGTGACTGAGAAAAGCAGGCATAGTAATAGCACCTACTTTATAGAGTTACTGTAAGGGCCGAATGAGATGGGCACGCGAGCGCCTGGTACCAGGCCTGGCAAGTGAGTCTGTGATAAATGTAGGTGGTTGTTGTTTACAACAATAATAATAACTTGATATTGTTGTTCTGGAACACAGCCCAGTTGCAAGCTTAGTAAAGTATAATGGGAGTCCTACTTTCTTTTCAGTTGGAAAGGAAGCCACTGCAGAGATTCTGATAACCCCCTGCGGCTGGTCCAACATGCCCAATAAGGTCAGGGAGGGGGCAAACACATGACATTTCATACCAACATCAGTAACAAGAAGGCCCAAGATAGTCCAGATGGCAGCAATAATGAAGGAGGCCGGGTTCAGGCAGTGGCTAAAAAGGTTGACCCCCTGGTGGAATGCCCAGAGATGACCTTGAGAGCATCTGGCAGCTCAGGCCCACAGCCATGATTTCTAGCCCATCGACAGCCCAAGTTCAACCAGACACTAGGGGACACTTAACAAGGGCAGGCAGGCAGCAGCTTCTCAGTGTCAGCGCATCTTGCAGGAACACCCAGCTTAACACCAAATCATGCAGAGGTAAGAGGATAGACTGATAAGAAAGAAACTGTAAAGCCTCTTGATTCGAGAACTTTCTGAAGGGGCTGTTCTCAAACTTGGGTGTGCAGTAGAATGAGCAAGACCCTGAATCTGTGAAGTCAGCAGCCTTGATTGAGGTGGACGCCTTTTCCTTATGACTTAATAAGATCCTCAGACGCTTGGGACACAGACCAAATTTAAGTCACCTCAGCAAGTACTCCCAGAAGGTGTAAGAGCCTAATTTCCCAACATGAGGACCTTTTAAACTGGAATATTTTCACTGTGTCTAAAAAAACTATTCTCTTCACTGAATGTGCATGCTTTTATTAAGGTTAAATATGAGCCTGATATAATTATTTAACAGGAAAATGACCAACAGAAAGAAATAACCAACTTTGGAGTATTAAGCATGACTTGTGAGTTTAAAGCTTTTATAAACTTGAGTTTTATTAAATGTGTCCATTCAAACTTGTTATAAATACATGGAAAACCTGTAAATAATCTGGACATGTTGAGAAATAAATGTTTAAATATAATTAGCAGTACTTCTAGTCTGTAATCTGAAATGTAACACATAACTGTAATCTTTCTTAAATGTAACTCTTTATATTGATATAGTTAGATAACTGTATATATGTAATTACATTATAAATAACAACATATATTTAATCAAATCTTCAAAGCTATTTTTTTAAGGAGAAAGAGGAAGAGGAGGGACTTAGATACCAACCTTGTGCACACATTCAAATCCAAGTGATTGATATCATCTTCATTATCTTTTATAGCAACATCTAAATCAAAGGCTTCTTGATCTTGGATCGATTTTCGAACTCTAGAAGATCCAGACGCTTTCACGTTATAAATAATATTAAGCTGCAATAAATAACTAATTAGTATAAATAATAAATTAGTAGCAATAAACTGCCTTCATTATACATTCTAAATATTAGGTAATGATTCTCTTCGGGACAAACCCAACTAAATTTGTAATCCTCAACCTAGAAAAAAATTAGTGTTACTAACTAAGTATCATAATCAACAAATATAATTATGAATGTTTATAAATAATGATTTTTTAAATTGAGAAATTGTTACATAACATTCCAAGTATCCTAGACCATCGTGAATGATATTGATGGTTATTGCTTTTTCAAAGAATGTGAACCATTCCCTTGAGGGTAAAAATGAAACTACCGCCAACTTTCTTGAAAGCATCCACTAATTCCTAAGTTCCGCTGCCCAACTGGAGTCATTTTTCAGAAACTGGAACCTTACAAACTATCAGTAAGATAAATCAACATGTCTTCATCCAAGATCCTTGGTTGAACAGAAACTTGTTCAACTGCTAAGGATTCTTTTTGATCATAAAATGCTTTCCAAAGATGATGAAATACACGATGGATTTCAAGTCAACTGGGTCTTTTTCAGCAACACCAATTTGAATGGTGCTGAGGCGACACTGTGGGGCAGTGTGAGGGCCAGTGTTTTTGTCAAAGAGATCCGAAGATCAGAAGCTTGGGAGCGTACTATTTAAATTCTTTACCTCTTCCACTTTCTTTGATACCAAGATTCATAAGCCTCACTATTACTATGTAATACTATATTTTCTTTTACTTATACTTAAATCTGTCTCTCTCTCACATACACATGCCTCAGAACTCAACATTCAGCATCCACTGTGGGTTTACAGACTTTAAAAACCCATCTCTCTAAGCCTTCATCTTTCAAATCTAAGAGTTCCAACTTTTGATTGTGCCTCACCTAGATCATATAATCCTTCATTCTCTTCATCATCTGGAATATCTCAGTCTGGACATTCTCCAACTTTTCCTAAGCTACAATGAAAATTGTAGGATATTCTTGGAATATTCTTGGAGTCTCTCATCAAACTGGAGAGACAGCCTCTGTGATTTTCATTACCCCCTTTCCTGTCACGTGCAATTGTCCTTTAGAGACCAACCTCATCAGGAAATAAACACAACTACAAGGTTTGTCCCCTGGGTCACAATTAATATCCAGCTATAACTAAGTGTTAGAGTTTATATTTGGCCCATAGTACAGATCAACTGCTCACTCAGAGAACTTCAAGAGATCTTGCAGTTTATTTCCAGTAGATTGCTTTCCATCACCCAAAAGAGGTGAACACTGACTACAAACCTGAGTTTCTTTGCCCTCCTTTTTCCTAGAGCACTTACAAAAATATCAACTAAAGGAAATGTCAGTACCTATTCCCAGGCGGCCAGCGTTTTGGCAGTTTTCTTCTCCATTACGAGAAGTGCCTAGTGGTCCCTCCCTTTGTCTTCTGCTTGTAGGTACAGACATGGGACTGGTGAGCGTGCTGACCAGTAGGTGCCATATTTACTGCAGTGTCCTTCAAACCTCAAATAAAAATTGTCTGGATTCAGTCATTTATCTACATTTGGCTTATAAAGAATGAATTCCAAGCGATATGGTGGTTTAAGGATACATAATTTTTCAATTGTATCTAAAAATATCCAGTGTGTTTACTTTTGGATTTACTCTTTGCTTTGAAAGACAGTGCGGGAGTGACAGCTTTCACGTGGTCTTTGTCAGTAAAGATCAACACAAATTATTCACTCTTTCTGACCTTTTCCTTGAATACTTTGAATACTGTTCTTTTTAACTAGGATTTTCCCTTGATTTTTAAAAGACATTTACTGTGTTTGAGTATCGTACAAAATAATCTTCACATTATTTGGAAGCTTCCAAATTATACCTGACTATGTGCCCTACTTTGCTAAGTGTTTCTGTTCCCCCAACTAGAACAGTTGTAATGGTTTTTGAAAAAGCACCTCTTCTCTATAACGGCCTTTTTTAACTTTCTCAGTAAATCTTTCAAGGTTTGTTTGGATTTTTTTCTAACAAAGCAAATGATCTTTTTCGGCATTGTTACATATTATTTTGTGTCCCAAGAACATGGTAAGTCCCTATGATTTTCATGTATTAAGTATAATAACTTCCATTCAGGATTTTACCTACTGCTTCCACTTTACTCCAGCCCAGTTACACCATAAAGGGTCGATTTCTTCAGATTTCCTTCCTACACCAGAGCACTGAACACATCATGCTCTACTTGCTTTATTTACTGTAATATAAAATTTTACATCAAAGGGGCACATTTCCTATCTTCAAGTCAATTACTTGTAATATCATGTTAACCTTTATTTCTTTAGATGAACATTAAGAAATTTTAAGTAAAATGCTACTCATCAAGTCACAGTAGAAACTCTACCAAGTGTCACAATTTCTGAGCTGTATTTTAACAAAAAAAGGTGAGATTTCCCAACAATTCACATGAATCATATTGGCGGATTTTAATTCTCACTTCAAAAAGCGCATAATATGCAAGAATAATTTCTTCCAAAGGATTATCAAACTATATAGTTGCCGTCTACTCACTAGCTAGTAATCTAACTCCTTTTATTAAAGAGAGTGATTTATCTTGCCTAAGTCATAGAAATTAATCATTAAGAATTTTACATTATCTAAGTTAAAGATTGAGCAGTGCCCCAAACCAAAGAATTATTACAGCAAGTCACAGTTAACAAAACAAAAATAAACATGATTACATACCTGACAAATAGCAAATCCAAAACCACTTGCGGAAATATTAACTGCCATTGGCTGCACCACAGCAAGCTGAATGAAGTGGGGAAAAAGTGAATAAGGCCAACTGTCCATATCGAGGTCCTTCCAACCAGCACAAGAGACCACCGTTATCCCTCCCTGGGAGTCTAAGAAATCGGCACTCTAAAGCTCTAAGAAGTTTACAACACACCCTCACATGTCAAAACTGATGGATCAACCGGATAAGGGAGGGGAAGGCCAAGGAAGGACACATTCGTGCTGTGGACAGGTCTGCCCTTCTGCAGGGGCCGAAGCATGAAAGACAGGAAACAGAAGTCATCTCCCTCCTCATGCCTCCCTCAGCATCAAAGTCCCTGGCCTTCCTCAGAATACAGAGGGACACCATCACTGACTAGTCCAACATTAGTCCTTCCTTGTCCTTTGCCATCACCCCTCCCCCTTAGTTTCCAGTCCTGAAGTTATCCATTACCTTCAACTTCCTACAAGGTTAACCAAGGGAGTAAGTTAGGGTCTAGCGTGGCCCTTTATTCCATTTGAAAGAAAGAATTCTACTACTGGTTTCATCAATTCTCCTAAGAGGACACATGGTGCAGCCAAAAAGAACATGGTCTTTGTGATCGTGGGTTCAAATCCTAGCTCTGCTGTGACTAGTAACATGATCTTGAGCAAGTTACTTAAACTCTCTTAACCTTAGTTTTATCATGTGTACCTTGGGGATAAAAGTACTTACTCCTTAGTGTCAGTTTAAGAAGTAAATGCAATAGTACATGCAAGAAAATCCAGCACAGGGCCTGCCAAGAACAGGAGCTCAGCAGGTGTTCGTTCCTTTCCCAATAAGACAGGGCCCATGTTTTCTGCTTTTCCCAATCTTTCCAAAGTTCTCAAACCCTCCTCCCCTCCCCAGCTCAGCACATTCAACCAAAGGACATTCGTTCCTCCAGGACAGGGCTGGGAACAAGCCTTTGTTGAAATCAACAGAATGGAAACAAAGCCCTATTCCATCTACACAGAAATTCAGATCACCAACCACCCCTTTTCCCCACCTCTGCCGTCTGGAGGAGAAAGCGGTTCTGTGTGTCAATCAGAAACTTTACAGGACTCGGTGAGCTGGGCCCCATCACGGTCACTTGGAGGTTTGTCCTTTCTGTGTTCATGAGGGCTGCAGATTCAGACAGGGCCTTCAAGGCCACAATGGTGTCCTGTTGAGAAAAGAAAAAAGGGTGTGCATGTGAGTATCTATCAAGGTCTCCAAAGTGTGAACTTCAGTTTTGTTTAGGACACCTCTACACACCCATCCACCTTCCTTGGGAGTGAACTCTCCTCGACTCATCTTTGCATCTGCTTGACCTGGAGTACAGGAAAGGCTCAGAAAACATCTGCTGAATGAAACTGAACACTTACCGCAACAGGTACCATGGATGAAAAATGGCTAATAAGACTTCCGGAACCAGTTTATCCCAAGTAAATATCAGATATAATGTTTATATCAGTGATGAGAAAAAATTAAAATTAGCAACTTAAACATTTGATTTGTAATATATATATAGTTAGTTAACTTTATATATATATACATATAGTATATACACATATAAATATACATACAGTTAAAGAAATTTAAAGCGATCATCACTCACCTGGGTAGATGCAAAACCTCCCAAGCTATTTCTTTGTGCGCTGAGCCACCTCATAATCGGGACTCCCTCGGCAGCCTGATGCTGCAGGAAGTGTGACAGCAGTGCGTACGCCGCAACTTCAATATCCAGGGAGCTTGGCTGCCAGGATTCAGAAAGTTTGGACACTGATGACACCCAGAATTGCATGCCTCCTGCAAGGGAAAAGTAGTAACAGTCCGACCAACTACAGAAAAATTACATTTTATACCATTAAACACTCCTACATTGGTCCAAGATCTCCTTAACCAGCATAAAAAAAAAATCTCCATATATGTGTATATTTATGCCAAGCAAATATATGTATATCCATACACACACCAACATGTAGTTACATGTCCGCTTTTAAACTATTACAACATATAAATTTTCATCCTTTTCCTATTACTTATATTTGAGGACGTTTTGATGAAAATGTTTCCCCAAGAGAAATTCCATATGTTTGGCTACGACCAAACAACTATAAATTTAAAAAAATTACTATATTCCAGATCATCCCAAAATATTTTAGGACATACTGGAAAGAATCCTGTTCTGGGAGTCTGCCATTAACCAGCTCTAGTGTTCTGGGAAAGTCTCCTTTGTTTCATTAAATGAAAGTTGGTGTTACAGGTTCAAAATTCAAGACCCCAGGAAAAAAATGAGGAACCCTGGGCAACTCTACGAGCTTCCTAGAGATATTCCCGCTAGCCCCCCGAGGGACACCCTAGTCCCTACACCCTTCTCCCTCTCAAGTATTAGTGCTTAGAAGATGACTACACGTGGGTGGAATGTGAAATAACTACCGCTTAGCCAAGCAGAGAAGCAGAAATGCCAAGGCCTACTTCAGCTTCTGTGCAATCATCTTCTCATCTCCAGCACTGCACTGGGTACTGAGGATTTAATCTAAATTACTGCTAATAACAAGGCAATACTTTTTACAGTCTCAGAAGTCTCTAAATATTTTCCACAGTTACCCTTTCTTGAATTACAAGAGCTGTGAATCAGCCAACATTACCTAAAATTATTTCTGCCCACCAATCCCCCAGCACACACACACACACACACACACACACACACACACACACACACACACACACACACACTGGGGTCTCTGACCACAGAGGCCTTTTGAGAAGGAACACCACCTACACTTGTCCTGTTGTGGCCCATAAGCAGTCCCCATCCCCAAACTGTTATAAAATTATACACCCACCTCACAGCATTCTTTTGGCATTTGCATTTCCATTAATAAAATTAATTAACACTTGCATCGCATTATTAAAGTTAATTAGCATTTTAATTCACATTTCTGAACACCTGCTATATGGCAGTCCCTGCACATTATCTCATTTCATCCTCACAGCAACCTGAAAATAGGTGTTATTCCCATTTTACAGTTAGGGAAACTGAAGCTCGTAAAGCTAAGTGACAGAGCCAGAACTTGAGCCCGAGTCTCTCTAAAACCCGAGTCTCTCTAAAACCTTAGTGGCCGACGAAGGCCACCAAACCAGAAGTGACAGCAGACTACTCACAGGGTAACTGACATAGGGCAGAAATATCTAAAAGAAAGAAACTCCCCAAGACCAAAATTCTCTGGAAAACTCTTGGGGAGAGTGGCAGCGGATGGGCACATCACACCCACTCTGATGTTTCATTCTCATCCCATTCAAAAGATGTAAATGAAATTCGCTTCGTAGGAAATCCGCTTCGTATCTGGTTTACAAAACCTGCTCCCATCGCGTACATGTTTCATGACGCGTAACGGGTCCCCACGTTACCTTCTTGTTCCGCTCTCCCCATCAGCATATTCAAAGCTTCCTTGGCTTTAGGGCTCCCCACAGATGACAGCGCATAAGTTACAAGAGCCAGTGTGTAATTGTCTGGAATTCCTCTATCAAATTCAGACTCCAAAAAGTTGACAGGCTCCTGCACATCAATATTAGGCTGGAAAGAAAAAATATATATATTCTACTATTCAAAATAACCCATTACCACATATTTAAATAAAAAGCATTTTCAAACATTCATTCAAAAAACAATTTCAGTGTCTGTTAAGCACCTGACTTTGTCCTAGGCAATGGGAACCACTGATGATCACAGACATTTAAAGATCTGCCTTGCATTTTGAAAATAACACCGCTTTTCAGGTTTTATACGCAAATAGGCACCATTCCTTAGAGGGAATAAAAACTATGAAGTATCTGCCAGTATTTCTCCAATTGACTATCAAGAACCAAGAAGAGAGCATTAAACACAGCCTGAGAAGGATGCTTCTCATATTTGATCTCAGGTGTTAAAGCTCTAAATTCAGCCGAAAGTTTATCTTCTACATGCCCAGTAATGGGCTGGGAAAACCGCAGGAGCCTAATTAGAGAACGACTCTTTTTGATCATTTGCAGTCTGCGTGAAGCAGTAAAGGCGTCAATCACTGGGACAGCTTTGAGGCAAAATTAAGCTCATTAGCACAACTTTCCATGCTCACTTGTTTTCACCCAGACATCCATGCCCACTCCAGACACTTTTTAGAGTGTGGGTGTACTTTTTTTTTAACTAAATTAGCAGAGATTATAATTGCTCCATGACATTTTAGAAATAAAACAATCCTTCACAACCGAAATTTGGAAGAATTTTCTCTCCCCTAAGAAGTTAACTTCCCAGTGATAAAATATGTATTGACTTTTCACACTGGTAACAACATCATTTACATTAGGACGTATTTTTAGAATTCTCTCAGTTACTCTGCAAGACTGAGTCAATGCTTTTATTCCTAGATTTTGGAATGTGCCCACAAATGCAAAGCGCAAGAGAACTGAAATTCAAGACTTCGAATGTGATGTAAAACCGCGAAACTCTTCATTTCCGGATGCATATTTGACCCATCAAGATCTACCTTCCTTGTGACTGTCTACCCATTATTTACTAAATTACAGAATAAATACCTGATACTTTTTATAGCCCAGGAGAGAAGTCACAATATAAGCCGTAAGAGTTACTGGACTTTTATTGCCACCTTGAAGTTCACTGTGGATCACTCTTCCAGGTTCCCAAAATTCACCACTTGACTTCTGACGTCCTTGGAGCCAAGTGTATGTTCTGTGTAACACGTTCTGATCAATGTCTATGTAAGGATCAGCTTCAAGGAAACATCGCAAAACAAAAGCTGACAACCTTGGTGAAAAGGGGGGGGGGGATTACATAAAATACACTTTATAAAGGCCTCCAAATTACACTGAGCAAGAAAACATCAACAGTAACAAGACATTTTTCCCCATCAGAAGATTCACCAAAGGACAAATCCCTGAAGAAAGAACAAAGGGAGAGACAGACGACAAAGGGACAACAAAGTAAACAGCTCAGCTGGGCCAGTGGGCGTGGTTTCCACTTACAACGGCCAGGAAATTCCCCGCCAACTCACAAAATATCAGAGTTGGGAAAGAACGCAGAAACCATCTAAGCCTGCCTCATTATTTTATAGGTTGAGAACTAGATACTCAGAAAGAGTTAAATAAATTGTCCAAGGTTATTTATCTTTGGACTATTCCCGGTATTTACCAAGGAAGATCTCATTACATACTTTGTTCAACCCTGAAGCAGTGGATGAAGTATACATAGTTCACAATCAAACTGTCGTAGTTTGAAGTAGAGGAAATGGACATTTTTTTCTCCTATAGGACAGGAATCGGCACATTCCAGCCTGTGGGCCAAACACAGCCCACCGTGTGTTTATATGTGCCTCCCTCTCCCCAACCCCCAACCCAAGAATGGTTTTTAAAGAGAGAAGGGAAGAGAGAGAGAGAGTGGAAGGGAGGGGGAAGAATATGCATCAGACTCTACATGGCCTGCAGTGCCTAACATATTCACTATCTGACATTTACAGAAAAAGTGTGCCAATCCCTGCTACGAGCACTCAATACTGAGGCGTAAAGAACATCACGCAATAAAACCCTGAGACCTATTTCTGGATCTATATCCATTCTATTTATGGATCTATAGCCTGACTCGTGCCAAAAGAAAATGTGAAGCAGATCTGTTTCACCCTGTAAAAGACTGAGTGTGGTGAACATTACTAATATGCAACATTATGCAGTCCTCTCCCACTCTGAGTACGCAGAATTTGCTTTCTTGCCCTCTTGAAGTTAGGCATGGCCATGGGACCAGCTCTGATCATGATCAAGTGATAAGATATATTACACCCAGGCTGAAGCTGCTAACTGCCAGCGCTGGATACGCTGGCCTTGGTCCCCAGGCAGCAGCAAGCCTGGGGCCTCTGGTGAGATGGTGAGATGGTGAGATGGTGGCTGAAACAAAGACTGCCGCCGCCCCTGCTGACTCACCATGGAACTGCAGCTTGAGCACAAGAGAAACTTCGGATAATTAACCACTGAGATGTAGAGAGTTGTCAATACCACCACACACCTTGTCTAACCCTACTGATACAGTTAGTCTTTTTCTGAGTGAAAAATGAAACTGAAGATGACAAGGAGACTAATCATCCAAAATCAGCCACACAGAGATTTCATGTGGAGCAAACTCCAGATGTTCATGATTTAATCCTAAAATTGTGTTTTTCACAAAAAATAACCTTAAAGAAACTACACTGAATTAACACAGTTCGTGTTGACTGTGTCTGATTAAAAAAAAGAACTATGTCACAATCACCCTGCATTTCTAACCAATTTTTCTTGCCAGATGCGCCATCATCATAAAGTATTGTATTACAGCTTTTCCCACCAAAAAAAAAGAGAATTTATGACTTATCTTCTCTAAATAAAAACATCTGATTTATTAGGGTTTTAAAATCATTTTTTAAAAGGAGAATCTCTTTTAAAGCCAGGGTATGGGAAAAGCAGCTTCCAAGTTGATACACAGACACATCTGTCAATTTCATGGCCATCATGACCTAGTGAGAGCCCGTTCTGTACCATGGATCTGTTCCATTAGCAAAAACACTTACCACGTGCTCCCAGAAGGGTCATCATTCCCAAAAGCACTGAAAGAGCCATCTTCCCTCTGATAGAGAAGTTCTCTCTGGTAACCTGAAGACATCAAAATAGACAGATAATTAATGTAATCAACTTGCAATGAATGGAAGTTTCTAATCATGACTTCATATGGGGAAACATGGGCAGAGAATGGGAAAGAAGGCATTGAATCAACTAATTTTGAATATTTTCTATATGATGTGTTGTGGGAGATTAAAAACATTAAGACTTTTCAAGCAGAATGTATAAAATAAGAACTGCAATATCCCCAAATCCGAATAAATTCAGACGAATACAACATAGACAACTATCCTAGCCACTCCAAAGCAAGTAAATTAAAGGCAGAGTACTTAACTCTGCAGAGCTAACTACAGTGGTTTCAAATGCGACCTAAGAAAAATGCTAGCTATAGTATCATAATTAAAGTTTAAGGCTAAAATAGGAAGTAAAAATACTTTTTATTCTTAGGCGAGCAACTGAGAGGAGAAAGTTGCTAAATAATCTAAGACAATGGCTCTAGAATTTTTTGATCATGGCCAACTGAGGTAAACCCAAAAACCAGCTAGTCTGCTCAAACATCAACTCTAAGTTCTCACTAAAAAAAAGGAACGTGGTGGTGGTAGTGAAATCTCACTATAGAACTAAATTGGGGAGGGGGTTAAGTAAGGCACTTGTATCTGCTTTAATAAAACCAGATGCTTCATATCTGCAAAGATGGTTGCAAATGAGCAGATGCTTCTTATTTGCAAGAAAATGCATGCAGATCTCAAAGTCCAGTGACTGGGAAGTCACAGGCCAAAGAATGAAAGATTCACCAGACAATCTCAACAAACTAACCTGCTAAAACTGAAATGAAAATAAAATGAAAAAAAAATTTAATTTATCATTAAAAAGCAAGCATAAGCAGGAGCAAAAACATTTCCAACTCAAGGCTTTATCAATGATTCTCTGATCACCAAGAATTCTTCCTGCAAACTACAGGATTCCACCACAGGAGGTGAGCGCACACAGAATGCACCCTGCAGCCCAGCCACGGAGCACCTGGCACCATGAGTATTTGTAAAATGTTGAATTCAATCCCCTAATAAACTAGTAACAGAAAAAAAATTTACTGTATGAATACCACATTTTAGAGGCATCAATAACTAATTAATTATTCATATTTGACTAACAAAACATGAGTGTTAATAGTTTAAATTTACAGTGCATCTGCTCTTGCCATGTTCCAAACTTTTCCCCTTCGGCCTTTCCACCAGAAGCCACAGATCTGAGTATCTGACTTAAGCTACAATGAGACAAAATGGACAAAAAACAAGACCCTGTTTCATGGTGGATCTTTAAGACCGGTGGTAAAGAAATGTAAGCAGCATTTAAGTGGTGACAGAATTTTCTTAATTTGAAGAATGGGGTGTTGGGTTATCATCTTTATGTTTAAAACAGAAATATCATGGCACAAACTTAAATAGCCAACCTTTATCCAACACTACGTGTCAGGAACTGGTCAAAGCCCTTTTCCAGTATGAACTCAAGTGACTCTCACAACTCTATGAGGTAGAAGCTATTGTTATTCCCTTTCTAGAGATGAAGAGACTGGAGCTCAGAATACACCCATGTGCAAGGTCATACGGCTGGTAGGCACTGAAGGTAGGCACCTGCCAAGGCCCACCTGTCTCCTTCAGCGATTAATATGTGAGAAGTCCTTCACTCAGTACCTTTCACACAGTCAGTAAACAATAGGTATCACTCCGTAACATGGGTGTAGAAAAAGTCTTTCTAACCATCCAATTTTTAAGAAAAAAATTGACTACATGTTTTTATTTTAAACTTTTCCACGGCAAAACACTATAAGCAAAGTTGAAAGACAGATGACAAACTAGGCAAAAATATTTGCAACTATGTAAGACAGGTAAATGGCTAATCTCCCTAATATTAATATCATATAGATTTTATATATATGTTTATATATATATTAATACAATGTCTCTGCATATAGATTATATAAAGAATTTTTTTTAATTTAGGGGAAAAGAAAAAATATTATAAAGAGAAAAAATGGACAAAAGACAAGTATGGACATTTTATAAAAAACAAAGACAGAAAGACAGACATTAAGGTAGGAGAAAATGCTCAACTTCGTAACAGGTGAAACACAAATTAAAACTACATATTAAGATACCATTTCTTACCCACCGCATTAGCAAAGACTCAAAAGCTTGACCATACAGTATGCTGGGGAGGCTATAAGGAAACCAGTACTCATCCACTGCTGAAGGGAATTCCAAATAGTACAGCTCCCATATAGGAAAATATCTACAACTTTTGACCCAATAATCCCACTTCTAAGGATCTAACGTGAAGATACCCCTCCAACATGACAAAAACATGTATACATTTGATATACTTCCAACATGACAAAAATGATGGCACCATTATTCATAACTGCAAAAATATTTGTAAACTACCTACATGCCCCTAAATTGGAGACTGGTTGAATAAACTGTGGTACGAGTATACAGTGGAATACTATGCAGCTGTGAAAAGGGATGAGGACTATCTTTCTGAACTCATGCAGAGCTATTTCCTGGATATATCATTAAATGAAAAAGGCAAAGCCTAAAATAGCACACACAGTATAGCATCTTTTATGAACAAAAAAGAGAAAATAAGAAAACATGTTAATTTCTGCTGAGAGAGGAAGAGAGGGAGAAACTAGAAACTTATGCAGAAAGTTACACAAAGGGCAGAGGAAGGGATCCGAGAGGGAGAGATACCCCTTTGGATACACATTTTAAAATAAGTTTGACTTTTGGAAGCATGTTAATGTTCTATAAATTCAAAAAATAAACAAGAATGGAAAAGAATTAAATGGCACTATTAACATGATCTTAGTTCACTCTAACATGTTTTAGTTTTCATATAACCTTAAAAAAACTCAATGTATAACTCAATATATAATCTCTTCTTTTGTCAGAGCTGGTTAAGGATCACAGAAAAGCAGAGTAATTTTCTAATGTTCACAAAGGAAATGAGCAAAAGAGTCCAAGACATTTGCCCTTAATTTCCAATTAAGGACTAAATCCACCAGGTAGCAGAGTTTAACTGTGAACTCAATCTGATAGAGGCAGGGAGGGGAGGGGAAGGGAAAAACAGAAATGAAGTTGTTGTGCTCCAGGGCCCTCCATCCCCAGAGGAGGTGCTTATGTGGGAAGATGGACCAACCCCGAGGAAAGGACCAAGTGACCCCAAGGCCCTGAATCACATCAGCAACTTCAATTCCAAGTGTGAGTTATTGTAAAACCAGTCAGAGAGATGAGATCACGGAGATGAGATCAGTGCTCATGGAAATTACCCCTCAGGTGGCTGACCTCCAAGAGTCACCGTTAATACCCACAACCAGCACAGTTCTCCCACAGGGCAGCCAGCCCAGCGGAGCGGGAGGGCTCGCAGACAGCCTCCAGGTATGGAGTGCATTTCTCGAGCTAGTTTAGATGAGACTGAAAATCCCAACCTCCAGCTCTGCTCTCTGGGCAACACAAGGAGGGACTCAGACCTGAGCGAGGGGCCTATACAACTCTCCCCGTGGGTCTCCTGGGAGGCTTCCTTCCTCATCGTAAGCCAGCCACGCATGGTTAGAGGAACCCTCAGCTGCTTCTTCTCCAAATCATCCAGTTCCATAAAAGAAATGGGCATTGCTAGCTCGGCCATTCGCTACATGACAACAACGCAGTGTTCCAGTGTCGCCACCTAAATTGGAGGCTTTTCATCATGATAGGTGAGAAAGGTGAAAACATGGTTTATGGTTTATGAGGAATTAAGTATGAGGATTTCCTTTAAGTTCAAAGTTTTATGAATAGCTCTTGAGTTGGAAAGTAATAGTATAATCAGAATTAACGGACACTTCTTAAAATTAAAATAATAATGCATAAACCATTGTTTATAAAGGGCCAGGCAAGATATATCCTTACTGGGTCAGGAATTTTCTTTGGAAAAGCCGTGAACGTAAAATATTGACCATTTATCATAATAAAGATGAAAGCACTGTTTACAGAAACACATAGAAAAGTAATGTTCTAAATATACTTTGACTTGGTGTACCACGAGTGTCCAAATTGCATACCAAAAAAAGAAGTAAAATCAGCAGCTTGTGACTTTAATCACTTTCTCTGGTTAAAAAAAGAAAAAGTTGATAAAAATATTCTCTGCACTGAAAGTATTCATTATCAACTTCCTTACTCTCTGTGACATGAAATAGAAAGTGAGAACTTTACCAACTTTTTTTTTAGCATCTTCACGATTGCTTCTAACCATTCTTGTGATGGCCAAATGCAGCATCAGAATTCTGAAACCTACTTTTTTCCTGTTTTTATTCCAATAGAGAAAACATTATGTATTTTCAACTAAGTTTGGTCTGAGTCTCTCTTGAAAAATTGAGCTGCAGGCACTATGATTTAAATATTTGAGGAAAACAAGTGGTTTAAAACACCAATTAACAGGTTTAGGATTTCCAGTCCTTATCAGAAACAGTTTTCCTTTGACAGTTCTATTTTTCTTTTTGACAGCAAAAGACACTGGTTTTGACTGGGTTAGGTTACAGGGCTCTGGGGCCAAGCATTATTTAAGGAAAACAATGCACTATTTATAAATTATATTTAAATAATACAATCATGGCAATCTACAGATTTAATGCAATCCCTATCAAATTACCCAGGACATAGTTCACAGAACTAGCACAAATCATAATAAAATTTATATGGAACCACAAAAGACCTAGAACTGCCAAAACATTACTGAAGAAAAAGAAAGAGGCTGGAGGAATAACTCTCCCAGACTTCAGACAATACAATAGAGCTGCAGTAATCAAAACAGCATGGTATTGGTACAAAAACAGACATATAGACCAATGGAACATAACAAAGAGCCCAGAAATGAACCCACAAACTTCTGGCCAACTAACCTTCAACAAAGGAGGCAAGAATATACAACGGAATAAAGACAGTCTCTTCAGCAAATGGTGTTGGGAAAACTGGACGGCAGCATGTACATCAATGAAGCTA